TGCGGACTGCAGGGCCGCTGGCCTCTGGACGGCCTTGGCTCCGACCCCCCGCCTCTTCGCCCTCGTCCTCGCCCTCGCCCGCTTTTTTTTTGTTTTCTCTCTCTCTCTCTCTCTCCTTCCCCCCCCCCCCGCATGGCGCAGGTGCAGCGCGAGGAGCCCATACTGATGGGACAGCTTCCCAGCACCCTACCATAGGTCGAACGGTGGAGAAGGGAGGCTGGGGAGGTCCGCCTCTCCTCCTCCTCCTCCTCCTCCTCCTCCTCCTCCTCCTCCTCCTCCTCCTCCTCTCCTCCTCCTCCCTCCTCCTCCTTCCTGCCTCCTCCTTTCCTCCTCCTCCTCCTCCTCCTCCTCCTCCTCTCCTCACCTCCTCCTCCTCCTCCTCCTCCCTCCTCCTCCTCCTCCTCCTCCTCCTCTCCTCCTCCTCCTCCTCCTCCTCCTCCTCCTCCTCCTCCTCCTCCTCCTCCTCCTCCTCTCCTCTCTCCTCTCTCCTCCTCCTCCTCCTCCTCCTCCTCCTCCTCCTCCTCCTCCTCCTCCTCCTCCTCCTTCTCCTCCTCCTCCTCCTCCACCTCCTCTTCCTCGTCCTCCTCCTCCTCCTCCTCCTCCTCCTCCTCCTCCTCCTCGCTCTCCTGCCTACGGTAATGGTGGTGGAAAATCGACCCATCAGATACCCCCACTGTCCCTGTCGGGAGTGTACCGTTCCGTCGCCGCCAGCGCGGAGGTGTACAAGGGCAGGCCGCCCCCGACGTGCGCCTTCGTGCTGTGCCTGGCCTGCTGGGCCGCCGCCGCCTACCGCCTCGCGCTGGACCCCAGCGGTGGAGATCCTGTGGCAGCCGGCGCCTGTCTGACGGCCGACGCGCTCTTCTCGCCGCACCCGGCAAAGCTGCGGAGGTACCTGCTGCACGCCCTGTGGCCGCTGGAGGCGGGTTACGTCCGCGGCTTCCTGACCTCGACCGCCCTGCTTGTCCAGGGCTTCGCGCTGGAGAACCAGGAGGGCACCGCGGCGTTCGCTCTCCAGCTGGCCGGCTTCCACGTCGTCGCGTCCGCGGTGCTGCTGGGACTCGGCGCGTCGGCCTGCCAGCTGTCCCTGGAGTCGGCCCTGGCCGGCCTCGCCATGGTCATCCACAGCCGGAACCCACAGGTGCACACGGACGGGCTGGAGAAGTCCCTGCGGGTGCCGTTCGTGATCGAGCCTCGCTGGCACACGTGGCTCATCGAGGCGCTCCTGCTTCTGACGGCGGGGAGCTTCCCGCGGGCGCTGGCGGCCCACGCGGTGGGTCTGGCCGTGGGCGGGCTGTACGTGCTGCGGGAGCCCGACCCGGGGCCGTGGCAGCAGGCATGGCAGGCCGTCCGCCAGAGGTCCTTCGGCTGCGGCGCGCTCGTGCACCTGGGGATGCTGCTGTTCGCGCTCCTCGCCGCGCCGTTCACGGCCGATGGCGAGGGCCTCGGCGGCACCCCGCCGCTGCTGCACCAGGCCGTGGCGGGCCAGGTGCCGCCCGAGGTGCTGCTCACCTGCAAGATCATGCTCGCCTTCGCGTGGCCGCTTGCCCTGTCGCCCCTGAGGCTCTGGGTGCGGTTCTACGCCGTGGGCTGCGCCCTGGTCGCCATGAGCGGCATGAACTCGCCGGCCTGGCGGGGCGGGAACCCGCACCTGGGCCTGTTGCTCCTCCTCTACCTCGTGTGCGGGTTCCCAAAGAATCGGGGGTGGACAGACCTCCTACCCTGACACGTCGATTCAGGAATTGGCCGTTTTCGGTTCGCGAGAGGGCGTCGCGGCCGGCAGGTCCGTCGGTTTCGGCCCCAGGCCGTTTTCACTAAGGGGAGGTCTACTAAAGGGAGGTCTGTCCACCGCCGAAAGAAGAAGAAGACGAAGAAGAAGAAGAAAAAACAACCCGAAACCAAAACTCTTGTTGAGCTCCGCGCGGGATTCTTGAACCTGCGTGGGGGGCCCCTGACGGCGCCTCTGGAGCCGTCCCCCTGGCCCCAGAAGTCTGCCCGGAGCTCCAACAGTTTGCCACGCCCTCTATGTCCCCCCGACGAGGCGGAGGAGGATGGCGAGGAGGGAGAGAGGGTCCGAGGGAGCCCGCAGGGGCGGGGAGGAAGAGAGGGACTGGGGGCGCCGCCAGGGGGACCCGCGCTTGGGCCAGGTCGTCCGCGCGGAGCTCCCAAGGCCTGTGCTCGTGCGGTGCCCTCTCCCTCCAGGTTCTGGCGTCTGTACGGCCTGCCCGACTGCGAGTCCGACAAGGACCGCGCCGCTTGAGCTCGGCGACTACGAAGGGTATGGTTACGCCGGGGTGTGGTTTGCGATCGGCACTGCTGGGGCCCGGGGGGCACGACACTGCCCTCGTCGGGCCTCCGCGGGGCGCGGGAGAACTCCATCGAGGTCCCCGCGCGGCCCCCCGGGTGCCCCCCCAGGAGGTTCCGCAGGGCGCCGCCTGCAGGCCGCACCCCTGGCAAGCCACACCCTTCGGAGTGGAGTCGCCGAAAGGACCGCGCCGCCTGAGCGGCAGGGGCGTTCTCGGGTCACCGCCACCGCCAGGCGGCGGAGCGGCGGAGGGTGCAGGCCGACGTCTCCTCGCGCGCGGGCTGGCGCCGGGCCCAGCGGCAACAAAAGTCCTGCGGCGGGCGGTCTCCACCAGGGGGTTCCGTGACGAGGGGCTGCGAGGTCGGTCGCGCGCGGCTCCGCAGCGCGATCGGCTGCTTCGGGTGTCCTGCGCCGGCGTTGTGTCTGTGGTGGATGGTTACTATGAAGTCGGGCCTGTCCCTCTACACGAGGAGCATTCAAGAACAGTGAGATAGAGTATGGGTACGATGTTTTGGCAAGTTTGATGATGTTTGTTCATGTTTTGATTAGATTCCATGTTCGCCCAAAATCCGCCTGTAGGAGGACATGCCCGAACTAAGCTTACTAAGTGCTGCATGTTGCTACAGGTGTGTGTGTGTGTGTGTGAGTGGCGAGGTCAAGGTATGTGCCGTTTGCGCATGCGCGTTGTAATTCTTGTGATGCATATGGGTTCAGATTGTCGTGTTCCTATGGTGCATGACAAGCTAGTGGTGTGTCTGTGCTGCTGGTCCATTTCGCTGGTATCGGTGGGACTTCCTGATGCTTGTTACGCACGCCCGTTCAGCACACAGATATACATCTGTCTGCACAAATCTTTTCATGTGCTATTAGTACCCGATGACGCCTGGTATTGCTGCATGTGCGTGATGTCTGCCTTGACGTGTTATATGAATGTACGTTTTCGGCACGTGCTATGATGTTCATGCCCGCTGCCGATGTATGGTTACCGGTGTGCGGTATGATTGCACGGTGTTGGTGTCTGACCCGGGCGTGTGTGCTGTGAGCGTATGTCCCTGATCCGTGGTGCTGCTGCCTGCTCCGGCTGCACTTCCAACATCAGTGCCCTCCCCCTCCCCCGCCTCCGCCTCCTCCTCCTCCTCCTCCTCCTCCTCCTCCTCCTCCTCCTCCTCCTCATCATCATCATCATCATCATCATCATCATCATCATCATCATCATCATCAGGGTGGGTTCACTGGCTCAGGGTGGAGGGATGAGTCTTGCTCGAGTCGGCGATGCATCGCCTGGGCGGGCTGGGCTGTCGGGCCCACGTCGGCGATGAGTGGGCGACGGGAGGCCGAGGCACGGCCCCCCTGAGCCTGCCCCCCCGCGACGGGGATCCCCTGCTCCGAGTTCCCTCATCAGCGTCGGTCAGGAGGGGGAAACAAAAAAAAAACAGACACAACGAATCGTCGATTCCCCAGAAGATATGGGGAAATATGGGAAGTGGGGGGGAAGACAGAAACCCAGAAAATATAGGAAAGTATGAGAATACTTGTATGTGTGTGTGTATTTATTTGTGTGTCCTGGGGCCCCTTCAGTCGGGGGGGCGTCACCCCCGCCGACAGCCCCACATCGACCCCCGTCGTGGGCAGCCACCGCGCGCCGAAGGCGCTCCGACCCGCGCCAGGGGGGCTAAAACGACGCGAAGATCGGGACAAAATCGGATCGGGATAACTCGAAATCTCTGAGAATCGGCGGGTTTGGAGGATGTATTGGGCGCCGCGGCCGCTCCAGAGCGTCCCGGAACGCTCTGAGAGCGCTCCGGAACGCTCTGGAGCGATTTATCCCGATCCTAGCCTTGTTTTAGGGGCGTCACCCCCGCCGGCAGCCCCACATCGACCCCCGTCGCGGGCAGCCACCGCGCGCCGAAGGCGCTCCGACCCGGGTCGCGGCGCGCCGACGAGGCGAGGTTGACCACCGCCGTCGGGGGGGTGCCCCCCACGCTTATTTTGTAGACTCGGGGTGCGTTCCGTCCGGTTGCCGCCCGTGGCTGCCTGTGGGGTGGCATCCGAGGATTCGCCGCTTCCGTTGCGCGTGGGGGTCGCCCGAGGTTCCGCCGCCCGTGCCTTGGCATCGCTCGGACGTGTGCATTTTTCCTTCGGCGAGGGCCCTCGAGGAGCATCCTGGATCACTTGGCGAAAAAAACCCACGCACGAAACCGAACAAAAACACAGGGAATGGAAGTCCGAGCGATAGCGAGGTGCTGCCTGGTTGTCGCCTCACCACACAGCTTGCTCCTCCTCCTCCTCCTCCTCCCTCCTCCTCCTCCTCCTCCTCCTCCTCCCCCTCCTCCTCCTCCTCCTCCTCCTCCTCCTCCTCCTCCTCCTCCTCCTCCTCCGCCTCCCCCTCCTCCTGCACACTCGCAAAGAGACACCTTGCTTGTCTCCAACCACATAACTTGCACCATATAGCTTTCGCCACATAACGCCAGATAGCTTGCACGATCTGCTCATGTTTCACCGCGTAGCTTACACCTCCAGTGTGCAGCAACGCATTCTTTGGGGTCCGTACGTTGGTGTATTGTCTTGGCCTGTGCTAGTGATGAGGGTTACCAGTGCGCTTTGCTAGTGACTGCGATTGGTGTGCGACTGACGCTTACATTGGGCACGCATTCATAACATCTGCCACTGCTGAACGGAATTCGCAATTGTTCGCGATAAATGGCCTTCTTGACATTAAGTGAGGTCCATGTTGAAGAGTGCGAGTAGTGAACTATGTTGATGTTGCTTCTCGAATGTGGTACTGATGCCTGTAGTTGGTGACCTGGCGTGAAGTATGTATGTTAGTTTTGTTCGTTTTTGGCGTACGTTATGTGCTTATGCCATTGATGCCTGTCCGTCATATATCAGCTCGGCGCAAGTCACTGGTTCACGCCGTTGGTGCGTGTGTGTGTGTGTTTGATATCTGCTCGTGGTGTCCGTGCCCTACGTGTGGTAATTGTGTATGTGGGTGAAGGATGTTATGGATGTATGCTACACGTGCCTCATTTTTCATCGCTTCGCTTAGTCCGCCAGCCCATATTGTCTGGCCGCTGTCGTTTGTCTGGGTGTTGCTAGGCGGCTGCCATTTTCTGGACGCCGTTCGTGGCGAGCGTCGGAGGTGAAGCAGTTGCTGTGGAATTGTTTTCTGGGGGCCTGTCGCAGACCCCTGCGTTGTTTTGGCAGTCGTGGGTTATCATGGGGTTCGTAGGTGCTTCGCTTGTGCCGGTGTGGGTCTTTTGGGGCTCTTGGGGGCCGCTAGATATATGTTGGCTTGCTCGCAGGACCATGTTGAATGACAGATGCTATATCGCGGGACCATTGTGAATGGCAGGTGCTATATGTTGGTGTGCTCATGGCGAACGAAAGGAGGAGGAGGAGGAGGAGGAGGAGGAGGAGGAGGAGGAGGAGGAAGACGAGGAGGAGGAGGAAGAGAGGATGAGGAGGAGGAGGAGGAGGAATTCCTGCTCCCCTTACCTCCCTCGGCGCACCGACTGGATGGTAGACGCGAGGTTTCTTGGGTGGCGTCATGTTTCAGGTGGGAGGCTTACTGGGAGCCTCCGGGAAGCATTTTTGCTGCTCGGGAGCCTCTTCGGGCCTTGTGGAGCCTCTCCGGGCATCGAGGTTACTTCTTAGGGTCTTCTGTTAGCTCTTAGAGGCGTCGTGGGGGCCTTTTGGAGGCATCCTGGGGGCATCTTGGGGGGCCTTTAGGGGCCTTTGGGACTCTTTTGGGATTTTGCGACTTTCTAAGGGCCTCTTAGGGGCATCTTGGGGGCATCTCGGGGCCCTCTTGGGAGCTTCCTGGGTGGGCCGCCTTGGTGCGATCTTGGGTGCCTCTCGTGCCGTCTTGGACGGAAAAGGCAAAGGTGTGAACATATATGTGCGCTTTTCCATCGGAGTGTGACATGTCTTGCTCGTTGAGGCCCTGCTGTGGGACCTTTGAAGGCCGTCTTGGGCTTTCCTTGGGTTATCGCGGGGCAAGATTGAAGCATCTTGGGATTCTGTTCGGGCCATCGTGAGGCCTGCCACTTACTGATGCGGACTCATGGGCCCTCTTGGAGCTCCCTTGGGGTTTCCTTGGGCGCTCCTGGGGCGATACTGAAGGAGCCGAACGTCTCCCCCAGGAGTACTGGCTTCTTGAGCGGACCTTGCCGGGACCTTGCTGGGAGTCGGCCGGGGTATTTCCCGGGAAAGGGCCACGCTTTGTTGGGAGAGAGTTCTCCTAAGCAGTAGCGGAATCTCTAAGCATATCCGTGCCTTGTGTGTTTCACCTTGTGGCGATCGCATTGCGGATGCATGTGGTGGCTTTGCTGGACATTTTGTGTCATCTGTTGTCACCCCGGGCACGCTGCCACCGGTCCGCTATCATACATCAGGGGAAACAAATCCTCGTCAGGGCACCCCCCAGGGGCCGCCCAGCGCGCGCGAACTATATATTTTCTGTGGGCCCGTTACTGGAGATCTTAGCACGTCTCTGGCCCGCTGGGCCAGCGTATTCGATTGGTTGAACGCGGGGGGGGGGGGGCAGGCACCGCCGCCCCACATGCTTGGACACGTGGAGACTTGTTTGGAGGCACGGTGGAGGAAGAGGAGGGCACGTGACATGGTGGCAGAAGGCGACAGGGGGGTTCAAGACGGCCTCGCGGACCCCAGAAACGTGAAACATTGTCCACGAGAGAGGTCTCGAAAACAGCCCTAAAGGGCACCCGGTGTGCCAAGAACGGTGGGCGAAAGCGAAGCGGGGTACGAAGAGGTGCAGGGGCTGCGGGAATCAGTGGCTCAAGAGCGACGCAAAGTGGCGCAACGACAATTCCGAAATGGCGAAAATCGTCAAGGTCCGTACGGTTTTTGAACGTTGTCAGCACCGTCCGGCTTTCAGCTCAGCACGAGTCGAAAAAGGGCTTCGGGAGGGTCCGAGACGGCTCCAGAAGGCCCGTGGGGACGGGCCAGATGAGCCCACGAGGGCCCCAAGAGGTTTCAAAGGGGGCCCAGGAGGGCTTCCGGAGAGGTCCCGCTCGGCCAGAGGCGTCCACAAGTGTTTCCTCGTCGTCGTCGTCGTCGTCGTCGTCGTCGTCGTCGTCGTCGTCGTCGTCGTCGTCGTCGTCCTTGTCGTCGTCGTCGTCCTCCTCCTCCTCCTCCTCCTCCTCCTCCTCCTCGTCGTCGCCATCAGTTGAGGGCAC